GCTAGCGCTTGAGCCCGCAGCAGGGTCTATGAGCAGGCAGCCCGACGCCCCCGGTTAGCTGCTCTGTAGCCAGCGCCAAGAAGTCACGAGCCCGTCATTATTATGATCACCATCATCACCATCATCATCATCATCCATCCATCACGCACCATCATCATCATCATTCTCATCATCAGTCGTCATCGTCATCATCCATCATAGTCATCACCGTCATCCATCATGACCGCTTTTGCGAAGGTCATATTCATCACCCTCATCATCATCCTCTATCGTCTACCACCTTCATCATCACTCATGATCATCATGGGTGGAGATGATGACGATCCTGTGACGGACGACGATAATGATGATGAGGGATGACGATGATGATGATGATGATGATGAGTCCGTGCCATCATGACTATCATCAGTTGACACGCAAGACATAAGCGAAGACCACAATGATGATGACAATGCTGACGGATGATTCTCACTATGAAGATTGATGGGTTGATGATGATGGATGATGTTGGTGCGTTACGATTGATGGTGATGAGGATGATGAGAACGATGCGGCGATGATGATGATCGATGGAGGCTCAGAAAGGATGCTGGTGATGGATGAGGATGATGGATGTGATGATGACGGAGGATCATGAGGGATGCTGATGATGGATGATGATGACAAGTGATGCTGACGGTGATGATGAGGATGATGATGATGATGATGATGCATGGGTTGGACGGTGATCATGATGACGGACGATGACGATGATGGATGACGAAGGTGACGAAGATGTTGATCATCCTCCGTGCCACGACAAGTATCGTTGTAGAATCCTCTGCGCGCCGAGCGCTGCCTAACATACGAACAATTGAATCGGACGGAAGATAGAGGCTAAGGCTAAGTCTACAATGTCGCTGATGATGACGGATGATGGCGGTGATGGATGATGCTGACGCATGATGATGATGATGGTTCATAATAAGGAGGGTGGATCATGATGATGAAAGTGATGATGATGATCATCCATGACGACTGTCGTCGTAGCATCCTCTGAAAGCCGAGCGTTGCCTGGCGGCGCAGTTGAAGTGTGGTAGGGGTCATGACGCTGATGATGCGATGACCACGACGATGATGACGATGACGGAAGATCACGATGATGGTGATGATGATGATGATGATGCTGATGATCGCCATGATGGTGATGATGGATGATGATGAACTGGTGATGAGATGATGAAGACGATGATGGATAATGATGAAGATGACGATTCTGATCACCATGATGCTAGTGATGATGATGATGGTTGACCAATCTGGTGAGGATGATCTTGGTGGCGGACTTTCTAAAATCACCCCGAGCGCGCGTGTGTAAGAGATTAGCTAAGAATGCTAGGGTGATGATGAAGATGCGAAAACCCTGGCGATGATGACGATGATGGATGATGGTGAGGATGGACGCGAATGATGGATGGTGACGACGACACCGCTGAGGATGATCACAGTTGCGCAACGACGACGATGATGATGGTTGATGGATGACGGCGACGATGGTTTTACATGATCGATGATCTATGATTGATCATGAACGACGTGATGATGATGTTGCTGCGGTCGATGTGTGATTATGATGATGATGATGATGATGATGATGATGATGATGATGATGATGATGATGATGATGAATGACGAGCGATGGCTTTTCGGGGCACAACCAACAAGCCAATCTGATGCTCGAAACTGTCAAAGCCATAACAAGTCAATCTGACCCCTCTCACAAGCCAATCTGATGCTCGCAAGTCAATCTAATGCTCTTCACAATCCAATCTGATCCCTCTCACAAGCCAATCTAAAAACGAACGAGCCAATCCTACACAAGCCCTTTTGATGAATTTTCAATTCACAAGCCAATCTAATTCATTCCACAACCCAAATTGATGAGCAGACCCAGTTCCACGACTGTTGCTTGCACGTGGGCGCTCCTGAACATCTGGACGCGCTTCGGAAACTTGACCTGGTGCAGCATGTGTTTCAAGTTCCTGGCACACTCCTGCAAGGGAATCCAGGAAGTTAGGAAACCCAAGCTCAGAATATTTGCAGGATGGAAACTGCGTGATGTGTTTTTCTTGCTTTTTCTTGTCTTTCACTTGTTTTGTTTTTTGAGCATTCGTCACAACACTCTCCTTTTTTCTTCATCTTTTTTTGTTGGAAGAACAAGAAGAGGCGGGGACTTGCGCTGAGCTGCACGCATCGAACCAGAGCAAGAGACACGCGAATCCAGGACGCGGCAGTCGAAGCTACATTGTTGCAACAAGCCACGCTTGTTTTCTCGGCGCTTTTTGTGGGTTGTGTTCGGCAAAGGGGCGTCTCCCAAGCACTTGTCCGAAGGGCGTCACTTCGTGCGAACATGCACGTTCAGCTTGTCCTCAAGGAAACCATGGCTTGCTCCTTGTTTTTGCTTGCAATGTTTTTGCGCGGTTCAGAGGGGACCGCGGCCTGCTCGCGCCGCGCGCACGTGTCGCGTGTGCGCCCGCCTTTCCATGTGATGTTGAGCGCATCAAAGGCGCACGCGCGCGGAGGGTGGCGGGCGCGAACAGGCTTGCCCGATCTTCCCAGTGTTGAATGAAATTCACACGGGTGAAAACAAAGGCCCAAAATCATTATTGCAGCTGTCTGACAACTCAGCGGCTGCACCTTGTTATCGCTGCGCCTCTGTGCTGCACGCCGCCGTCACCTCCATCCTGCCGCCTCCGCCAAGTCAAATCCCGGATGACCCCAGCTCGTTCTCGCTGCTTTCCTGAACCAAATCCCACCGGCACTTGGACGACCGCGCCTCGTGGCATACGGCTGACCCCAACTCGTTCTTGCTGCTTTCCTGGAGCCCAATTCCACCGGCGCACGGACACGACAGTCAAGGTCGTTCCGGCAATTCAGCCGGCAAGCCGCTCGTTCGGCCATTTCCCCGCCAGCGGCGCTTGCACGGTATGCTGCAAATTCGGCACACTTGAAGCTCAACCATCTGCGGTAAACTCGGCAAAACGGCACACTTGAGACCGGTCACGTTCTTGGCGGCACTTGCGCGGTATGCTGCAAACTCGGCCCTGCGGTATGCGGTAAACTCGGCAAACTTGAGACCGGTCCCGTTCTTGTCGGCAATTCAGCCGGCAGGCCGTCTGTTCGGCTGGTACACTTCAGGCCGAACCTCTGCCGATCCTCGCTCCCTCGCGGTTAGACAACTAAACGAGAATCCAACCAGAGGGGTTTTTGGGAAAAAACAGAAGAATAAAAAAATGAACACAAAATAATTGTGAAAGCAAACCCCAAAATGAAAACCAAATAGTTTTCAGCTGTGCATCAATTGCAGATACACATGAAGCAGAAGTTCCCTAGGTCCTAGGTTTTCCAAGTTTCTCAGGTTCTTTAAGTTCCCGCTTAAGTTCGTTTCGTAGAATGCTCGGAACGCACTAGCCGAGTGGGCAGGACCACGAAAATCGAGGATGTCATGCACTTGGTTCCTAGGGAACTTAAGGAAGTTAAGGAACTTAGCGAATTTTGGAACCCGTGCACCCGGCTTCGGAACAATAGGGGAACTTAGGCAACTTGCGGAACTTGGAGAACCCATGCACCTGGTTCCTTGGAAGGGAAGTTAGGGAACTTGAGAACTTGGGGAACGTATGGTTTCTAAAGAACTTGGGGACTTGGAAAACGGACGGACCTGGTTCCTAGAAGTTAGGGAAGCTAGGGCAACTTAGGTTAAAGGCCTGGTGCTGCTCCTAGCCTTAACTCCCTCAAACCCCAACAAAGTCAAACGAAAGAGGCGCACGCCGTTTTATCGGGTTTCATTGGAATGAAACCATAAGGCCTTTAGCCAAGCCCGCTGGAGCGTGTTCTCAAAAGAGCTTTTTGTTTCCTGAAGATCCTTTTCGCGGTGATGACTCCTTCCTACAACATCTGGTTGGCTCCCAGTGGCAACTGTCAAATCGGTCCATGCTGTTCCCCTTGAGCCACGGATCATTGATCTGCAAAGGATCCTGCTTTTGAAACCTGGGTCAGAGGACAGGCCGTTGCGTAGCTGTAACAACTTGCTGAAACGCAGGCATGTTTGATTGAATCCCTTCCAAAAGTGAATCCATAGTGATCAAACATTATTGTGCACATTGCCAAACCGACACTAAGGCATGGATGGGTCTACGAAGGCCAACTCACAGGGATACCCCCGACGAACTCACTTACGATCGAGTGGATTGGCCAAAACATCTGGTACATTCGGTACCATGTTTTGTGATTGCAGCTCCTGCCAGAATAGCCGCGTAGCGTTTCCGTTGCAGCTTGTCGAATTGCTGAGCGGAAAGCCAATGGCTTTGAACATGTTAGCCAGATTCGTGCATTTGTCTGCTTCTGCGGCTTGTGGCATGCCTAATTGTTTGTGGTACAGCGCACCGGACATTGTCTTAGCCATGTTGCGATGTGTGTGCTGTGGGAAGTGTGCGCTGTGGGAAGAGGTGCGCAACATTTCGCATATCAAACAACCAGCGGCACATTTCTGTTAATGTTGCATGTTTTGCAGATCGCGATGCGCATGTGGCTGCAGTGACAACTTTGTTCAAATGCCCATGCTTGCATATGCTGTAAGTCTCGGGGATGCAACCAGGTTTGAACCTGCAAAATAACCATTTCTCAAATTCATCACACGTTGGCCGAGGGAGCTTCTCACTCAACAATGTGTTTCTGGGCGGGGAGGGGGGGGAGGGGGGGAGGGGGGGAGGGGGGGGGTTAGAACAAAACATCACATGGCGCAGGTTTGGCTCAACTCGTGTCGGCTATATCACATTTGTTGCCGAAACATTTTTGGTTGGACAGTGGATGCAATGTGGGCTATGTAGAACAGAACTGTTAGTGATTTCCCGTGGCTTGTCACAATCGCCACCAAGCTGGAGTCACATCCAGGTTTGAAGCTAACCATGTCGCCAATGTGAATATGCAGAGATTAGGATGTGGAATGCCATGACCACTTGAAATGGCACCAACCGTGGCCTGGCCGCAGAATGGTGCAAGGCAGTGCCAGTTTATTGAGCTTAGGGGTTGGGAATGTTTCATCAAGCTTGTGCTCACTGGCATGCGCGTGTATCACTTGAATTGCGCTGGTTTTGATTGTTAGTTGTTTGCGCGAAGTCCTCGGGGACGATTTGAAAGCAGCATTCGACAGCCATTATTGGTAATGACCAACCTTGTGGCTTGAGCCCTGTTCCACAATTCATTCAGAAACGTTTTCCAGATGCCTCGATTGTAGCTTCAGCAAACACCACAATTGCTTTCATCCTTTCTGAACACAACCCATGAAGTTGGCAAAAACGACACATATTTTCATCCTTTTGGAACGCAATTCATGAAGTTGTAGTTCTTGACTTTCCGGATTCAATGACACTGCAGCAAGGTGCTCTGCACAGCACCTTCTTGAACCGAGGCACAGCACTTCCGCCGCAGCGCACGGAATTTCCGCGCCTGGCTTGAGCGGGGTGATGACGCTGATGCGGACGATGTGTTTACGGATGCAGCGCTGCGAGAGAGGCGCAGCACTTGCAGCAAGAACGAACACAAAAAACGGATGCAGCACATTGTGGTTCGGTACTTGGACAGTTCTGCTTGTCTCCTTTCAAACAGGCGGTGCGTTTGCCATGCACCTGCAAGAATCCATCTTCGGAGGCTGTCGAATCCGCTGAGATTCCTGGAGGTGCCGCTGGAGAGCGGCGCTGTAGCGCTGCCACCAGAGGCTGGGAATTTCAGCCACCTGCAAAGTTTGATGCCTCTAGTGGGATTGATTCAGACTCTTCAACCCCCTGGCTATTTATGATAAACATCTTGTAGTGCGGATTCCTGTCTGCCGGGTGAACCCCCCGATTATGTGATGACTGGGGGGGTTCTGCATGAGGGCTGAACATATTGGGATGGATTTTTGGCATGGATTTTTGGCGTGGATTGGCGAAGCAGCGGCGGTTTTTGTTTGTTTTTTTAGAAGGTGGCAACAAATGACAGCAGGTTCCAAAAACCAGTCCCTGTGTTTTGCAAGCTCCAGATGTGTAAGGATGAAGTTGATACCATCCTTTTGGCTTTGTTTTCCAGTCTTTGCATGTGAAGTCTTTGGGGTTCTCGGCCTTCCTGGCATAGGCTTCTAGGGTTCTTGGTTTGCGCCTGCAGCTGTTTGTGCCAGCTTCCTAGCTGCTTTTGTTCAAGTTGGCTTTCAGGCTTTGGCCCAAGTTTTCAATTTTGCATTTCTTGATGCAGTTGATATGCAACACCATGCGCGTATAGTTTTAGAATTAGTTGCTGAGTTCTCACGTTCGTGCCAATGCCGTCCTTTTGAGTCGATTCACCCTCCTTCCTGATTGGGGTGCGCTGAACCTGTGCCGTCAATAGCGCATTAGGGTGACTTGAAACTCTGAATGATTCACACCTGCACAAACACATTTCACATGTCACGACACATGCTTGGCAGGGTTGCCAATCGCCTTGAGGCCAAGTCTCTCGCGGAGCAAGCGGCGCCCCAGCTGGGTGTGTCGCGGGAGGTTGCGCAGGACTTGGTTGGGCTTCTAGCAGAAGACCGACTCGGCAGCCTCGTGCTGCATCTGGAGGGCAGCGTCTTTGACCTCTTGGACCTTAGTCCGGCAGGAGACCTCCGACACGTCTGCGATGGTTTTTGCTTTTTCCGTGTCTTTCTCTTGCGTATGTACGTGCGAAGTCAGGGTAGCTAGCTACCAGTTTGCCAGGCTAGCAGGCTGGGTAGTTGGCTAGTTTGAGAGAGTTTGCTAGATAGTTGGTTTGCTTAGTTCGCTAGCTAAGGTAGTTAGCTACTGGCTGGCTTGCGCGCGCTAGTTTCCGGGTCCTTGCCCGGTTGGCCAGTTAGCCAGCTGTTGGCTAGTGTGCTAGCTAGCTGGCTAGACTGATCATTAGCAGGTAATGTGAGCAGTTGGAGAATAAGCGAATTAGCAGCATGTTAGCAAAGAAAGAGAGTTGGCTAGTTGGCTAGTTAGCTAGTTAGCTAGTTAGCTAGTTCGCTAGTTAGTTAGTCAGCCAGTCAGCTAGTCAGCTAGTTAGCTCATGAGTTAGCTCATGAGCTGCCTGGGAGCTGATTGGATCGCAACAAGCTAGCTAGCTAGTTCGCAAGTTGGGTAGTTTGCTAAGCTATCTAGTTTGCCAGTTTGTACAGTGGAGGAGCCGTCTATTCTTCAGATCTCGCGCTTTCTAGCTTTTGCTCAACTATTTCACGCGCAGCATATGTATTCTTCAAATAGAGTACAGCTTCGTTGTGGGCCAATGTCTTTTGACATTCGTATCCTGCAGCATTCCAGGAAAGCAATGGATTTTGGAAAGATCGCTTCCTCAGAACATCATTCTGGATGCACATCTAAGTTCTCCTTCTTCTTTGTCAGTTTTCTGCCATGGGACATGCTGGACAAATGAGAACACGGGTTAGCGGGTTTGGGTTTAGGTTTTGTGGGAGGTTCGTAAGTCGTCGGCAAGGCTACAAGACATTCGGCGTGTGGGAGGCACCTCGGTCGCTCGTTCCAGGAAGAGTTCCGCTCGCCATGTTAGGTGCCTGTTTTTATGCTACAAATACAAGCCTCTTCCGACAGCTGAACTGCTTCTAGAATAGCTAGAGCATGTTGTAGCGTGGTAGCCAAGATTCGACATTTCGAGGCTTCCTGATGTGGGCATCAGGAGCTTTGCCATCTCTCACCAACCTGCTGCATGCGGAGCGTTGCGAGGCGGGCTTTCTCGGAGTCGCATTTGGTTTTGGCAAAACGGAGAAGTTGGGAAGGAAAGGACAGGCGTGGAAGGAGTGCCGCAAAGTTCGTTCCCAATGCCGAGCACTCTGCCGGGCGAAAAAATGAGTCGGGCCAGGCATTGCAGGCCTTAGCCGTGGTTCTCCGCGGCGCGCATGATGATAGCCATCCCTTTGCAGCGCAATGTCCGCAACTCAAGCTGTGGGTGGCCACGCAGTGGTGCTTTTAAGGGCAGAGTTGTGCCTTGCAAGAAGTTGCGAGTACCCTCCCATCAACTAACATGGAAGTGCACAAAGCCCCTTTCCAAGAGGAACGTAGTCTTTCTACAGCGGTCTGTGCACAAACCCATGGGAGGGTACTACTTTCAGCCCGGCTTTTAGCATGTCGCTCTTGAGAAATTGAGGCCGGGAGCTCGCGCAGAAGCTTTTGTCAGAGGACTTGGAGAGGAAGCTCTGGGACGTCTATGTCAAGGCTTCACTTTGGGCTTGATGCATGTTGTAGTCAATTGGCTGTGGTTGTCAAAACCGTTTTGGGATCCCATTTTGGGGTAGATGCAGAAGCTTTGCTTTGGGCTTTGCTCTTTTATGCTTTGGGCTTTGCTTTGCCTTTTATGCTACATGATCCTTGGTATAGTGAAGATGCATCGAAAAGTCATTCGACAAAGCAGGGCTGCTACTGTTGGGGTTTGTCTCCTGGTGCGTTTGGGCAGGTCTCTGCCTGCCCTCGCTTTTCCTCGTCCCCGGAACACGGGGAGGCAGGGATGGAGCTCGCCCGGCAACCGGTTCAATGCATCCCTGGCCTTCAATGAGACTTTAGGTATGGGAGACAGCCTCAGTGCTCGCTGGAAAACACCTGTCCATCTTCGTTTTGGTTTCTTTCCCACTCTTCCCCACGTCACTCTGGGCCTTTAGTCTCTCTTTGTCTTCAGGTGGAGACCGTGGTGAAGCAGGGACTCGAGCTGCAGCTCTGTGTCCTGGAGTGTCTTTTGCTGGCGGGCTACGACTCCCAGATCAGCAGGAGGGGCTGCATCAGGCATCAATTGTGTCATTGTGATGCAGAGATGCGATCTTTTGCGTTTGAAGCTCATGTGGCCGTTGCAACAGTTCTCGGCTGGCGCGCACCTTGCTGCGGTATGAAAGCGGCACCCGCCACCCTCTGTGGGCTGTAGATGTTCACCTGAATTGTTGGCAGTGTCTAGCGCAGTCAGGAGCGACCCGGAGCAGATCTGCCGTATAGCAGAGGACCGATGCTTTTTGCGGTTCATTGGTTGCGAAATGCTAGTGTGCCTGGAAACGATCGCCCCTTTTAGAGGGAGACTTGCCGAAGAATCCTATACATGCCTGCCAGCAAAGCGCGGCAGGAGTGCTACCGGCAGCGCTTTCTGGGCAGCCTCCCGCGCGCTGCACACCACCATCACTGGTTGTTGGGCGATGCAGAGATTTGCACCTCAGTCGCTTTTGATGCTGCAGCCAATCTTTTATTCGGACAGCAGAAGGTTCGGGTACGGGTCAAAATTAAGCCACCAGAGAACCGCAGGTTTTGGTCCATGTTTCCATTTACCAGGGTTCCATTTTGGATACCTATTTTTGAACCACAACAGCCATTCATGGAGGGCTGGTCTGGAGGGCTTCCTACCGTCGGTCTGCTTGCAGAGATGCTGAGGCGTGCAGGCGCAGTGCGTGGGGGACCTCTGCTTGGCGTTACTCATAGAGCAGCTGGGCCTGGAAGGCCTGAATCAGGCTGGCAGGGCTATTTGGCTGTGGCTCAAAAAAGTGGTACCAAAATGGACCCTGGTAAATGGAACCAAAGACTAAACCCGCGTAACCCCAGCTGATCAATTTTGAGCCATACCCAATTGCCAATGCGGTGTGAGCAGCGCCCAACACTCCAGGTGCATTTTTGTTCAGGTTCTACCACCAAGCTTTTGTCCCTTGCCCTACCCTGCTTGGACGGCTGTTAAAAGAAGAAGCAAGGCATTGGCCCAGCCAAGCGTCGCAGCACACTATGAGCGCCTATAATCATATGTAACATATATCATAAATAAGAATATATATATATATATATATACATGTATGTACATATATATATATATATATATATATGCCGACCCCCCACATGATCTGCCTCTGTAGCACAGTTTGTAGCCAAAAAGCTAAAAACCTGTGTGTGGACTTATTCAACAACTTTGACTAGCACCTGTTTGGAAAGGAGTTCCCACTTAAATTCTCAAATAGGGAGCTCTTTCAAGAACTTTATGAGGAGCTTTCTATTAAGCGTTATAAGCAGCTTTACGCCTGAGCTTCAAAGGGATCTTGTTGAGCAATTTGTAAGGAACTGTACAAGGAACCGAACCTTATATGGAGCCTTGTCATTGGAGAGTGGGACCCCTCTGAGCCCTGATTTTACACTGTCAGAAGCATTTGCTGCCAAAGGAAGGCCTCCGCAAGTTCTGAACCTTTCCATTGGCCATGGATTGCGGGTAGCCCATGTGGCTCGAAACGAAATGTGGTGCTCTTCTTCCCGCTTTGAGATGTGAACTCCAGATCACAAGTCAGGTTGCCAGCAGATCAGGACATGTGAGTGGTGAAGCAGACCACCTGCAAGTGGGCAACATCAATTTCTACATCATCTGCTGGCGCCTTCCATAGGTCATCAACACAATTTCTGATAAGTAGATCGCTTGTTCTCACATCTCTTAACAGTTGGAAAACAGTTGTAATCTAATGTCCTTTTGAGTTGCATCAAAGCTATCCCACTGTTTTTCTTTGATCCAGGAATTCGGAGGATATATTATATCAGAATGAATTTTGTGTACATCGTAACAAATCCCGCATTGGGGATCATGTCCATCATGACTTCTGGGATTTTACAATTTAATCATCTTTGCTAAGTAATCAACTATGTTTGCCATGACATGTATTTCTTTTCTTGGAAATCCTGTTTGGGAACATCATATGTAAGGACGGGAAGTGGGGAAGGAAAGAAGTGAGAAGAGAAGAGAAGAGAAGAGAAGAGAAGAGAAGAGAAGAGAAGAGAAGAGAAGAGAAGAGAAAGAGAGGAAGACAGAAAACAGGAAGGAAAGAAATGAATAAGGACATGCGAAAGAGAGCAAGAGAGAGAGAGAGAGAGATTGCCGAAGAGGCGCAAACACAGACACGGTGCTTTCACCGAAGCTGGCCGAGGGTTGCTCACACAGAAATGGCTGTGGGTCAAAGATAGGTACCCAAACTAGAACCCTGGTAAATGGAACCCTTGTGATTTCATTTTGACCCATACCCAAATAGGTATTGTTCGTCAGCATCACGTCCGAATCCAGTTCCATTTGCGCGCTTCAGTTTTTCTTTGCCCGCAGGCCATGCATCGACATCCTTTATTGTCTAGCCCGGAGCACATGCAGCACCTGCACAAGCTGATCGAAGGCGACTTGGCGACTCTTTCTCATCAAGCTTTCCAAACTTTGTAATCCAGATTGCGAAAAAACACACCTGAGCCACATGCTCAAAACCCGAGGATTGATGAAGGTTAGTAAGGGACGATCCCAACCACAAATAGCTGCGGCCGCTTTTCTAATTCCAAACAGCAATCCAGATTGCGAAAAACACACCTTGCTCGATGCACCTCCCAGGGCCAAAACTATGCTGAACCCACAACACCCGCAGACAGCGTTTCCATGTGATTGGTGCATGGATTTGACGCATGCGACGGATGCGAGGCTCGTGGCTGGAGGTCTGCCGCGTGGCCGAGCCCTCCGCGGCCGCGCACTGCGGGCGCCACGTGGCGCTGGTGGTCTTGGGATGGGCGGTGGCCTGGCTCAAGGTGCGACGTGCTCGGATGCAGGTGGTGTGTCCGGTTCAGGGGCACAGGGAGTTGTGTCTGGGCTAAGAGGCTTCTTGACCGTTTGGTTGCTTGGACTTTTTTTGGGAGGTCTGGAGGGTTTGGACGGCAGCTCGTTTGCTGTCTGAGCAAGACTTCCTGGAGCCTTGATGCAATGATGGGACAAAGCAGGACCCTGACTGAGGTGCTTCTGGCAAGCGCTCCAGAGACATTCAGCGCCTCAACTAGAATCAGCACAAGTATTTTTGTATTGTGGCATCGTTGGTCCCGGATGCCCATTGAGCTATGGGTGAGCCTTTGCGCAAACGGTCAAGGATCGATTCTCATTCATTTCAGGGGATTGCTTGACAGAGGCAGTTGCAGAAGAGGCCACATCCGCAAAAGAGACGTATTTTCGTTGGTTTCGTTGGCTATGTCTGGTGGTTTCGTCTGTGCTGGGCACCTTTCCTGGTTCGCTGGGACCGGTAAGGAGAGGCCCACGGCCTCGGCTTGAAGCGGCTCTTCTCCAGCGCCGTCTTCCAGGCGCCCCATTTGCTGCAGGACGCCGTGCGGCGCATCCAGGAGTGGGGGAGGGGGGAGGGGGGGGCAGAGAGACTTGGAGAATTGCGCAGCTTTTGGGTGGCGCATGGCGCGGTTTTTTGCAGGTTTTGTGCATATCTCCAGGATCGAGGCTTCCTCGCATGTGACAGCCGCAATGCCAAGCACCTGGCGGCCCGATCGGTGCTGAGGCCAGTGGGTCTCGGTTTCACGGATCTTTCCGTTTTCTCTTGCATCCTTGTCGCTCCATCCTGCGTTGTTGCCATGTGGCTGTTCAAATATAAGTACCCAAATTGGAACCTTGGTAAATGGAACCAAGGACCAGAACCGGTCCGATTGGTGGTTTAATTTGACCCATCCCCATGTCTTCCCAAACTTCAGACGAGGGGCATGGTCTCCGTGTCGACGGTGGCCCTGCGCCTGGACGGGCCAATGGCGCCCATCCACGGGGCGCTCTCCAAGATGGCGCCGCGCCTGAGACGGAGAGAGCCAGCGCTGAGATGGCCATGGGCCAAAATCAAAATCCAAAGCCCAGTCGGTTAGCCCCCAGCGAACGGGACCCAATCCAACCACTAACATCGGGTCTAACATGGGTGGTGAATTCACCGAAAACCCCCAAAATGGCAGCCAAAACGGTTTTGAGCCACAGCCAGCGGGTGCTCAGGCCAGCATGGCCTTCGCTGGGGACCCGCCTGCTTGCCTGGAGTTCTGGAGGCGCAGTCTTTCCTATGGATCTCGCGAGTTGGCAGTTGGCGTACAGGTCCGACTACCCGAAGCGCGAGGGCGTCTTTGCGGTGCTGCACGCCTGGCTCACATGCTTTCCCAGGCGGGCGGATGTGTCAACACGGAGGACCCCTGTCTTTGTAGCTTTTGACCGAAACAACATGGAACTCGGTGGGCTGGGGAGAACACTGTTGACACAGAATGCCCGCGAACACAGCGCTGCCCCGAGCACAGCAGTTTAGAAGTTCATGTTCTGATCCACCCTCAACCAATCCGAAGCCAAGCAAACCTTAATTCACCCTAAACCTCTTATCATAAGGCCACCATGCTTCAAAGAGGACTTTGCAACGCAGCAGCATAGCAGTTTTGGCGCCCCTGCCAAGCCACGGCCATGATGCACCGCAGGACTCTCAAAGCAGAACGGCCCAGAAAGCTCCCCAACACGCAATGTTGAGACGACACCAAGGTAGATGTGTTTCTTCTCCAGAAGTGAAAAACACCAATTCCCGCAAGATCGTGTGTTTTTTTTTCTTTTTGTTTATTCTTTAGAGCTTGTTCCAAAAACCAAAACCGACCCGTCCGGTCGTAGACGCTTTACGGACCTCTCAGGGGCCTGGCGTGTCTCCTGGAGCTGCTGGACGGCCTGGCCCAGGGCTTCGGCGCGCTCTACACCTGTGAGCTCATGCAGGTGCCGCGGGTTCCGCGTGAGCCGTCCGCGGGTTTCGTGCGGGTTCCGTGGGTTCCGTGGGTGTGGCTTTCCGGAGGGAAGGGGTGGAAAGGGGGGAAGGAGCGGCTTGGAATTTGCCCCACAACTTTTTGGTGTAGGAGACATAGCCTCTTGGCTTGGATGAAGGCGTTGGAGGGTTTGGGATCAGGGATGCGGGGAGAGTGGCAGGCACCTTTGAACATGATGCAGTTGCCCTACCGCATGCTCAAGCATGCTGCAGACTTTGAGGCTGGGCGTGTTACACGGAAGGCATATGGCTGTGGGTCAAAACCAATGGTACCATTTTGGGGTAGGTGCACCACCCATTTTAGTAAATTTTAGTGGGGATTGGGATGTTCACCTTGGGTGTGGTCTTTTGACAGGAAGCGCCGGCTTCCTCCACTTTCCTGCAGCGGGCACCGTTGGTGCTACGAGAGCCAGCACGGGCGCCGAGAGGGGTTTGGCGCCATTGAGAAGGGGTGGGTCAGCCAAGCAAACCCCAAGCAAACAAAACAACCGGGCAAGACAGCTCCTTTCATTTCCCGCATTTGGAGACGCTGGCGCTTTTTGTTGTTGGTCCTCTCCCTGCGTTTCCGTACTGTCATTTCCCAGGTGTATGTCGAGGAGCTGGCCCTTCGCGTGTTGGGTCTGGAACTTCCGGAGCTGTGGCTGCAGAAGAGATTGGTAGAGGGGCATACACATCCGCATTTATGAGTGCTAAGCCAGAAGAACAGGGAGCTTGAACTGGGTTTTGATTTCCAAGGAAATCGACCCCTGGAAAGGGGAGGTTTTTTCAAGCTTCGGCGTTTTGGGCTGGAGTGCCCACTCCAGTGGCGCCGAGGAGCGGCACGTGGCCAGCTGCGCTGTGCTGCCTGCTGGCTCCCGGGGGGTGCTGGAGCATGACAGGCGGGATGTAAGCGCTCCAGCGGGGTTCCCCCAAAATCCCCCCCCCCCCCCGGGAAGCAGAATGTGTCCCCAGCGCTGCCAAGGGAAAGGGACATGTTATTGCGCTTCTTGCATGGCCCGTATTCAAGGCAATGCAGGTTTCTTTCGAGGGATTGTATACGTTGATGGTAGTGGAGAACGGCTTGTATGAGATCGAGGAAATGTGTTGGACCAAGACAAGTGCCCAGCATGTGTTGCCTTTGCTTTGGAGGCCAGATCCAGACCTTAGCCCCCGTTGCGCCCTCAAATGCTGTTGCCTTGCAACCTCAGTGGTGAGTTTGCCTGGCAGTCTGTCAGTGGGCCTTTGATGTAGGCGTGACTGCTTGCAGCATGTTGCGAGGGCACACTGATTGATCTGAGGAGCCTCGCATGCTCACATGGTGCCGGGCTCACTATTTTGGAGAGAGTGACTTGGCAGGCTTTGCATGCCTCCCAACACGCGATGTTTTGTTCGCAGAAGAGTCATGACTAGTTCCTCTGTTCGGGGCGGTTCCTTCCAAGTGTGCGTATGCTATCAGACAAACTGACAATTTCACCACTCGTTGTCTTGGAAGGCACCAGCTCACGCTTGACTTGCATGCAATGGGCACGTATTCCTGGCAATTCTTTTGGCTTCCAGCGGCTGGCGCGATACCATCCCCGGAGCTCTGAAGTTGTGAAGGCTGGGGCGGTCTGTTTGCGACAGTGGACATGCAAAATCAACCTGCTGATGCCCTGAGACAATTGTCAGCTATGGCAGTGACTCGCCATGCGCTCAGCTAGCAGAACTTGTGCAGAGGGCAAGGGCAGGGTGAGGAAAGCCAATCCGAGCATTGAGTTGGGGGAATCGCAGCAGCATCAGCGGCAGCAGTCGCAGCTGCGGCAACCTCAATGGCAGATAGTTCTTTGAAGCGTGGAGGCGCCATAACTGATGCTATTCGCAGGGCCAAGTTGCGGGAATTTCTCATGCTCTCAGTTGTTGTTGAAGAATCGTGATTCGAAATCCAGGCTGCACGCCAAGCTTACGGGCACAGCAATGCCCAGGCTACACACTTTATGGTGGGGCTTCTGGCATCCTGGAAATCGCATGTTTCCCACAATCCGTTTTTCGCGCTTTGGCAGAAGGTGGCCCATGCAGCGCTAGACCCAATTGCGGGGTGTGGGTGGAGCATAGAAGAGCGTAGATGAGGCCACAGCAGAATGCGGGAGAATGCAAGCACACTCGCTCACACACACAAACAGCGCGCCTTGGCAGAGCCTCAGCTTCTCTCCTTGCAGTGCTTTGATTCTTTCTAGAGCGGTGAAAAAAGTGAAGTGACTCCTCCCGCCCAAAAGCGTCCACCGACGGCTCGAGGCCGCTCCACCCGGCTCTTGGCCCTGGCAGTCCTGGCCGCCCTGGCCATGGCGGCTTGCGCCTTCGTGCCAGGTGCAGCCAGGCCCACAGTTTGGGGGGAGGAGGTTTCGTCGGGGGCCCGGCCGCCCGGCACTCGAGACTCGAGCTGCGCGGCCCGGCCCGTGGAGGGAGCATGATCCAAAGATGTGGGCTTCACCTCACTCCCTGAGCTTTAGCTGGGGGTTCGCGCTCTGATCTCGAGCTGGTCGGATGCCTTTGACGGTTCTGTGCGCCTTGCCAACACGATTTCATTTGTTGCCCAGCACAATGCGTGAATTGACTTCCTCGCTTGATCAGCTCGTGTCCTCACAGTTCATTTGTTTGCCTCCGCAACACATCCATTTTTCGTGCAGCTCTGGTGGCCTGAGTTGAGTCTTGTGCTTTTCTTTCCAGATCGTTGCTCTCTTTTTAAGTTGATCATCGTTTACACGTCTGAGTCATGATGCCCACCTTGCATAGTCGTGCTGCGCTTCAGCTTCACTAGCTGTCCTCCAGCAGACTCTCAAGTTCTAAGGCACCGCGCGCGGTGGAACCTGAGACTGGTGCAGGCCTCGGCATGGGCTTGATCCATCAGGAAACGGAAGTCACGAACCTCTCTCTTGGGGTCTGATGGCACGAGTCTTCTTGCAGCAAAGCTAGTCCCCTCTGAGGGGAATGGATTTTGTGCGTTTGGACCTTCCAAGAGTACAAAAATGCTACTTGTACTACTTGGACGCGCAAAGTGCATGTCCATGGCAGCCAAATGCAGCGCACGGCCTGGATGTAGCCTCAGGCCTGAGCCGCGCGGAGACGGCCATGCTGGGTGCTGCCCTGGCCGCGGTGCCAGAGGCGAGCATAGAGTTGGGGTTGGGTCAAAATATAACCACCAGGAATCGGACCGCAGGTTTTAGTCTTTGGCTCCATTTACCAGGGCAAGCCATTTTGAGTACGCATTTTTGACCCAAAGCCAGTTTTGGCAGGAGGGTGGAGGGGTTGCCTTTGTAGAATCACTCATCTACTTTCAGCATGGGGGCCATTTATGGGCACAGGGAAACCATGGCACGTGGAAAAACGAGGACCCTATGCCTCAAATAGGAGGTTTTGAATCGATGCTTTAGAGGCAAAGTACAAGCATAGAAGCATTGTGCGTCAAGGAGAGATTGCCATTTGCAAGTCGTAGAAACATGTGCACACACAGGCACATCTGACCTCAGTGACGTGTTTTGGCCAGCAGATGAACTCTGTATGACACGGTTCACCTGACTTGCTACACTTCTCTCCGTCTCATTTGCTCAGGTGGCCCATGCTGGCAATTCAGGCGGGAAGGTTGAGTGCAAATATCTACATATATATATATAATATATATATATATATGTCCAACAAAAAGCCAACACAAATCCCAAACTGAATCCGCACCCAAATCGAGCACCCCGTCCTTTGCAAGTCTTTGGCATGTGGTGAGCGTGTAGGATGCTTGGCCCAAAGTTTTGGTCCGATTCGTTGCTTGAGGCTATGCTCTGTTGCAGCTGGGCTGGGCGATCTTCATCATCAGCATCGGCCTTGGGCCGGCATTGAATCCGCTTCAGCTGAAGTCGTGACCAGCCTTTGATCTGGGCTTGAGGGAGGTATGCGCCATACGTTTTCAAGGCATCAGACTGGAGCCTCCTCAGAAGTTCGATTGACCTAGAGGAGGATAGATCTGTCACAGCTTCAACACAAGTGGTTGCTGTTGTCGTAGCCAAAGGCGTGCTTTTCGCGTGGTTTTTAGGCCTGGGCCCCGCAGTCCTCTTCTGGGTCTACTTCAACAAGCCGGAGCTCCTGTGAGGCCAGGCACTTGTAGTGCCAGCACGCGCTGATCGATAAGCAGCTCGCCTTGTTCATTTTTTCCCACAAGATTATGGTGTGGCTTCCAAAAGGGTCTGCTTGGCTCTTGGCTGGCATGCTGTCCCTCACAATCTCGGATTGCTGTGGACTCGTGAGGACGAGGTTCCTGACGCAACTTGATGCCAGGTCTTGGGGGCGGCTATGCGAGTTCTGAGAGAAGCCCAGAGCAGTCAGAGGCTTGTGGTTGGCTTGTGGTTGTTGGAAGGTAGATGTCTCAATTCGCTTGGGCCTGTTTGGCGATCTTTTGGGTTTGCAGCCATCACGCTTCAATGCTGAAAGGGCAGTTTCACAGTCTCCGGCGCTTGTGAAGACTCGTGGCAGCCTGCCGCGACGGAATCTTTGCACCGCAGCTGGTCGGAAGAGGATTTTTCCGGAGGGTTTTTTGTCGCCAAAAAGGATGCTGCGCCTTGCAAAGCAGCTTTGTCTATGGCATGACGTATCATGTCCAGCTCTGATTTGCCACAAGGTGCGCTGGACTCTGCCGGCTGGGGCCGTTCCCTTGGCGATGCTTCAGCCTTGCGTGGCAGTGAGGCAGCCATGGCCTGCCAAGCAGCGACTCTCAGGGCCTTTTTCTTTGTTTGGTTATGTTGTTGCAGGGAGGCACTCCGCATGAAGTCACTGATAAGGTCATTGATAAGGTGTCCCTTCCGCAAACCACATGCAGCATTGCAGAACTGGGTCACCGCTACATCTTGCATGGCCAAGGTCTCCATTTGGCGAGTTGCCCTGTGCGCTTGGGATGCGATCTTGGGTGCAGACCCCAGCACGTGACGTCAGCTCCATTTTCACGTTTGCGTCAGTGGAGGGTACTCAATCTCGGTCACCGCGTATCGAAGCAAAGAAGGGAAGGATGTTTCTTTGTTGCTCCCATTTCCTTTCCTTGTGCTTCTTGGCTTCGTGCCTCGCCCTTGGCTCAAGATCTTCAGAGTTCTGATCAGTTGTTCGGTTCGTCGCCCCCTTCCTCGTCCTCATCATGGCTGTGATCCTTGGCATGGGCAACCCTCTTCTCGACATCTCCGCGGAGGTGACGCAGGAGCGTCTGGTAGCTTGGCACCGGTCTCTTGTTGGGAGGCTCCGAAGCTCTCACATGTGCTTAGGGGTTCACAGATGTACGGTTGATCAGTCATAGATTTTCCCATATCGGAGGAGTCTTTGGCAAACCAAGTATCCCGAGCAATGCACGGCAATCCACTGACAGGGTATGCACAATGCACTCGAGCAGGGGCGTCGTGCCTCAACAGACAACTGGTCCCTTGATGATTTCCAACCCACGTGGCAGAATCTGTCATGTCAAAGTGGCAGAATCCAGGCCAAGTTTGTGTAATTGCTGAGGCCAAGTTGCATGGCTTGCGGCGTTTCTTGAGTTTATTTTGGGTTTTCAACGTCACCTGAGCCACAATCACACCCCGGGTAGATGAAGGTTAGTAAAGGGCAGTCCCAGCCAGAAATAGTTGCCCCTGCTTTCTTAATTCTTGAAACATGGTTCTGGGTCGACCATTTTAATACCGGGTTTTGAGCAAGTGACTCACCTTGCGCGCGGGTTCGGGGACCCGGGGGGATGTGGGGCGGGCGCTCTGCCAGGAGACTTTCGACAAGTACGGCTTGGTGCCAGGCAACGCCATCCTGGCCGAGGAGATGCACCAGCCTCTGTTCAAGGAGCTGGCGGAGAAGCCGGATGTGCCTCGGCCTGCTCGTCGTGTAGGACCTCCTTGGCAGATAGATTTTGCGAGCCAAAGAGGAGAGATAATGTTGAAGGTGGCCGACCTTTCGAGGTCTTGCGTGATGTTCGGCATGTCAGAAAATTGCAGTGGGCATCCGCCCCTGCTGTTGTGACCAAGCTATGGACCCTCAGATTCCAGAGTGTTGGAACAGCTTGGAGCTTGTCACGTTCGGAAGAACCCACAACAATGACGGAACTGTTCGAACTTGAATGCTTTGATTCGAAGAGCGTGGAAGTGAATCTTTGTTGCTCAGTAGAAGCCCAAAAAGAACAGACACGGCAGAGGCTTGAAGGTCGGCGGGTCGCTTGTGACTGTCTCCGACTCACCGGTCCCAAATCCAATTGGCGCGGCTTCATCTCGCCCAACTCTCAGTTGCGCAGCGCTTCTTTGTTTTCTTTTTCCTCTTCTTTCTTTCTTTCTCTTTCTGTCTCAGCCAACTCCACCAGCTATTGTGCCGCGCGCCTGCGGCTCAGGTGTTGTACGTGGCCGGCGGAGCCACTCAGAACAGCATCCGAGTGGCGCAGTGGATGCTGCAGGCCGGATTCTCCGTGGGCGATATCGCCAGCCTTTAGCAGGCGCAAAAAAGCGAGCACCACATGTCAGCCAGTTGAAATCTGGAAGAGCCCCAGCGCTGTGCCGGACGGTTGTGCAGATTTTGCACTCATCGCTTGGCCACGTCTGCGCGGATTTGAAACTGGGAGGATCGGGTGCTAGGAAGGCAACCCGAAGCATAGTTCAGGCAACCCGAGTGTCGGATTCGCTTCCTTGGCCCGAGGAGCCGAACAAGACCGCGTACATGGGCTGCATCGGCGAAGATGCCTTCGGCCAAAAGCTGACAGAGGCCTGCAAGAAGGCGCACCATGGGCATGCAGAATGGGTGTGGGTCAAGATCATGTAACATGTACAATGGCAACTCGTATGGAGACTCATACTAAGATGCGTAACCCTAGGTCTTTTAATTTGAGCCACGGCAGCCACACCCAAATGTACGGGATGCGGATGACTCGGCGCGAGATGTGCCGGCCAGCCGGCGTGCCCTCCAAGCAAAACTTGCACGCCTTGTTTAGTGATGAATGGTTGGGCTCCGTTATTGCATGCATTTTGGGGCAAGCAGTGCTGCAACTCCCTCCACTTTCCATGTCTCTAGCGTGTTTCCTTTGCGATTTTAGTCGCATTTTCGGTATTATCATGCTATGAGAAGACTCGTGCCAGTTTTTTCTGTGGAACCCGATCCTGGGGAGACCATTGCTTGAATAAATCCGGCGGTGAGATGTCAAGGGAGAAAGAAACACGCGTCCTCCAAATCATCGATATCTCAGTGAACCCTTGCCGTTTTTGGGGCTGGGCAGAGCCAACTTCTGGCTGGACATAGGATGGCGTCGACTGCAAGTACATGATCGACAAGACCACGCCAACGGGAGCTTGCGCAGTGACCATCATGAACAAGGACGGATTGCCTCCCAGGCCACAAACCATTCAAAGCAAGATGCAGGTTTTGTACAGCAGCATTCAGGGAGTTCATGCGACATGCCTGAGCCTTCGAGGAGCGTTCGCTGACCACCAACCTGCATGCAGCCAACAACTACAAGGCCATCAATATGGGTGTGGGTCAAAACCAATGGAGTCCCATTTAGGGGTAGGCGCACCACCCATTTTAGAACCTATTTTAGTGGGGATTGGGATGTTCGCTGGGGGTACGGGGTTTTGACCCATCGCCATATGGCTTTTGCATTTGCGCTGTAGCGATGCAGTGAGGGCTTTGGGTTTCATGAGATCAGCAGCCATGGAGATGCAGCTTTTCAGTAGCTTCAACTGCTGAAGAGTCTCGACACCCTTCGCAAACTGCCATAATGTGTCAGGAAGTCAGACGAGTACATTTCATTTGCAAGCCATGGCAATAGTTTTTTGCGTAGCTGCCTGACAGGTCACTCACTTGAAGGAGAACCTGAGCACTCTGCAGGCTGCAAAGATTGTGTACAGCGCCGGGTTCTTCATCACTGTCTCCCCGGAGTCCATTGAGCCACTTCTCTGAACATCGCACTCGGGGACTCGGGGAACAGGGATTGGCCCGGGCCACCATGTTTCGGGGCCATCCACGGAGCAACCCCCAGCCATGACAGGGGTTTTCACGCCAAAGGAGGCATTGAAGATGGCGAGCCGCCTCGTTTGGCTCGGCACTTGCGCCTATCGCGGTTCCGAGGATGGCCTCCCAAGAAATGCTGAAGACGGGGGGCACCTACTGCCTGAACCTCTCGGCGCCCTTCATTGTGCAGGTGCCGCCCTTCCGCGCTGTGCTGGAGAAGACTCTGCCCTGCTGCCACCGCCCCAGAAGTGCTCAAGACCGAGCCAGGTCCCATGTTCCGGCGTTCGTCACGTTGGCCCTTTCGGTTTCAAGTTAAAGCATAGGGGGTGATCCTGCCAGGCTGCAAGAAATCTTGCTTGAGGCGACTACCTCTTTGGCAATGAGACGGAGGCCAAGGCCTACGCTGAGGCAGTTGGCTGGGAAACTGAGGACGGCCGGAGGTCAGTTTGTCTCATGGCACATTGAGCTTCAGCACAAAGACTCAAGCGATTCCGGCCAGCGCAAGGACGTTGAGTTCATTGCGACCAGGCTCTCCCTGGTTCCCATGGCAGGCCAGGGAGCTTGCGGATTGCAAACTCAATGGAAGTTCAGCCTCTCTACAGACGGCTGCTGAGCTTGTGAAAGGGTTGTTCTGGACAGATTGACTCCGCGAAGACACCGCTGTTGGCGAAGAAAGGAGCCATCAGGCTAAACTCTGTGCCGCCAGGCAACAAGCCTCCCAGAAAGGTGGTCATCACCCAGGGCTGCGATCCCACCGTGGTGGCCATCCGTGGTCAGGCAGGCAGTAAAAACTTTGGTTTGCACGGGTAATGCCGAAATACTGCGAATATGAATGATATATATACATATATATATATGTATGTATGTATGTATGTATGTATGTATGTATGTATGTATGTATGTATGTATGTATGTATGTATGTATGTATGTATGTATGTATGTATGTATGTATGTATGTATGTATGTATGTATGTATGTATGTATGTATGTATGTATGTATGTATGTATGTATGTATGTATGTATGTATGTATGTATGTATGTATGTATGTATGTATGTATGTATGTATGTATGTATGTATGTATGTATGTATGTATGTATGTATGTGTATGTATGTATGTATGTATGTATGTATGTATGTATGTATGTATGTATGTAATGTATGTATGTATGTATGTATGTATGTATGTATGTATGTATGTATGTATGTATGTATGTATGTATGTAATGTATGTATGTATGTATGTATGTATGTATGTATGTATGTATGTATGTATGTATGTATGTATGTATGTATGTATGTATGTATGTATGTATGTATGTATGTATGTATGTATGTATGTATGTATGTATGTATGTATGTATGTATGTATGTATGTATGTATGTATGTGTATGTATGTATGTATGTATGTATGTATGTATGTATGTATGTATGTATGTATGTATGTATGTATGTATGTATGTATGTATGTATGTATGTATGTATGTATGTATGTATGTATGTATGTATGTATGTATGTATGTATGTATGTATGTATGTATGTATGTATGTAATGTATGTAATGTATGTATGTATGTAATGTAATGTAATGTAATGTAATAATGTAATGTAATGTAATGTAATGTAATGTAATGTAATGTATGTATGTATGTATGTATGTATGTATGTATGTAATGTATGTATGTATGTATGTATGTATGTATGTATGTATGTATGTATGTATGTATGTATGTATGTAATGTATGTATGTATGTATGTATGTATGTATGTATGTATGTATGTATGTATGTATGTATGTATGTATGTATGTATGTATGTATGTATGTATGTATGTATGTATGTATGTATGTATGTATGTATGTATGTATGTATGTATGTATGTATGTATGTATGTATGTATGTATGTATGTATGTATGTATGTATGTATGTATGTATGTATGTATG